AGAGCTTCACACGCGTATCTCGGTCCTGGAAACAACAGCATGCTCAGAATCTTCTGGGCAAGAAAAGTTAGAGAGTTTAATGCAAAATTTTCTAAAGGAATAAGCATAAAGGAAGAGGAACAAATACCAGTATTTAGGGCCCTCTTCAGTTTTCTACGGGAATGAGAAGCTTGCGATCGTGGAGAAGTCTCGGGAGCCTTGGAGAGAGAGCCCTTACTAATGACCTTGCCAATTATGTCATCAACTTCGGAAGCAAAAAAGGCGTCCCGATAGCCATTCCACCAGTTCTTAAAGCTTTCAAGGGCACTCGGGGCCGGTGCAAATGACTTTATCATGAGATTCTTTGATACTTCCACATTGATTCGCCGTCAGCAAATGAAAGGATCAGAGGATTTGGTGACTCCAAACAGGCGCTTTTCATTGAAAGGAAAGTCCATAGAGTAGGGGGCAAGAATCGGGATACCCTGCGTCAATCCAAACTGCCGAGCGCAGTATTGAGGAGAGTATACCTCAACCCCATATTTCAACTTTCCCTTGAGGGACAATCTCAATGACAAATTAAAGGCCACCAAAATGGGAATCCAGAATCTTTGGGCTTCTTTAGAACGAGGGAAGGAGAAAATATCTTGGAAATCCAGGCGACAAAGTGGGCAAAAGTTTCTGTCGCTCAAGGATACCTGGTAAAACCAGTGGAGATAATATTTGAAGGCAGCGGTTCCTTCAGGAATGGGACGCAGATGGAAGCTTAATAGACGGGCTCCAACGCTGTTTGGAAAATAAGGTCCGATCTTGTTATCCGGTGGAAGCGAGATTTGAGACTCAGAAAACAAAGAGCGAAAATATAGGTGAATCCAAGCTTGGAGAATCCAGAAAGGACCATAAAAAACCCCTGAAGTCGTTTCGCCCATAGAAGCAGATGCAAAACTCAAACCTCGGTATATGACAGCCAAGGCTAATCGTCCCATGGCGATTGACCTACTCTTCAACAAGTGAAAAGCTGAACCTCTTAGCTCTTTCGCCACCTGAAGCGAAGGATGAAAAAAGAGGGATTTGGATAATCAGTAGAGAAGAGATGGCCTCCTTTCGAGAGGCATAGTCATTCAGAACACGAGCATATGAAGGCTCACCATCGTTGGGGAAGTCTGGGTAAGTGGAAGAGTCAAACAGGGTGGGGTCCTCTCCCGAAGGAGTTAACTCGGAAATAGCGTAAACGTCAAGAAGGGTTACCGACATGGGACCCGATTGGAGAAAGAAACAATTAACAGATGGAGACCAGAAACAAATAAGAGCGCCTAAAAGCCTAGGGTTCGGTTTCCAATCGAAGGTACAAAACTCAAGGGCCTTGTTGATCTTAGCTTTTTTCCATAGCTCTTCCATAGCAGGCTTGAGCCTGTTATACCATTCGAAGAAGACTAGGTCAAAAGGAAAGAATGACCTGAGCTTCTGAGATGTAAACGTCCAGACATAGTCCATAATTTGCTCTTTCTGGAACGAAAGAAGCTCGGCAACGTGCCGAGGAAAGCAGTCGGAAAGAAAAGGAGGAGGGCATGGTGTTCGAAGACAGGAACCCAAAATGATCTCACCGCTAGCCTCTGAAGGATAATTTTGTAGCGATAAGAAGACATTGTCTGCATGTGCGGGTGACTGAAGCTGCTTGAAGGGACCCAGATAGGCCAAAAGGTCAGGTGTAGAAGAGGAAGAAGAAGACATGGTAGGACCAGGGCAAAAGAAGAAGAATCAAAGGCGACAAAGGAGGAAAGGTAAAAATCCGATCCTGGAGCAACTATCAATGGCGTCGGGAGGAGTTTAAAAGGCGCTTGGGATTGAAGCCTTAAAAGATCTCGGACTGCAAGGAGAGATTCGGAAAAGCTGAAAAGCCGTATAGCACGGATGCAGAGGATAAATATCAGCCAATGTAATCGCCAAATCGAATTAAAAAAATTGAAAATATTTCAATTCTTTTAAGTGGGACATTCGTCGGCGCTCAAATTTGGCTGATTGGGCTAAAAGAAAAAAAGGATACAACAGGCCTAAATTGCTAAACAGTAAATTGGGTAATGAAGTCGCACAAGGTCCAATATATGGGATATCGAGAACTCGGCACCAATAACTGCTCGGGACATCGGGATAAAGATAAGAACAGTTACTACATCCGGTGCCAATAATATCGTGGAATAGAAGGAGCAGTTATCGGGAAGGAAATCGAACAATCCAGAGTCAAGATGGTAACCGCTCGACAGTGGTTATTCATCGGCGTTAGCTATAACTAGCTTCGAAGAAATTGGGAGAAGGATCTTTTGTCAAATTGACTGCAAAAAGCACACCTTTTGTAATCTTGTTGGTTCAATTGCTATCGTTAATTTATCTCTTATTGCACGATTTATCTTTTGTCATTTTACTTTTGTTCGCCATTAGCATAGGATTCATTGTTTCCTTTCCGAAATGACTTAGGACCCGGTTACTCACAAAAACCGAAGATCTTCCCCTTCGACGAAAGATCTTTCGTTCGAGGCCACTCTCGGCGAAACAACACTACAGATAGATAGTGTCTCAACCTTGACCCTAAAAATTACCACACATCGAAGTAACTAGCAAAGAAATAAGCCGACTCTGCATTGGAGTAACATAGATTGCTACTCAATAAAGTATTCGGAAGAATGTAATGGCCGTTCTAACGCTGCGTTATGCCAATTCCTGTCCTAGGTTCACCCGTTGGTTTCTGTTTGTCCGAACGCTCCATAAAGTCTTAAGCAAATGTGGCCACGTCAGGTTCAAACCGTTAAATTGGATTGAATAAAGTTGAAATTGTTGGTTGGGATCATTTTGTGGGGCTACTAAAAATGATTGTTTACATCACTTGAAATAACTGACCAATAACTATTTTTTCATTATCGACAATAATTTATGTCTAAATATTTCCATAATTTCGTGAATAATGAAAATATTTTTCGTTCACTCATTTTTGTAAGTGTTATAATCAATCATTTTTGGGAAATATTTTTCAAATTGTTCATTTTTCGCGAAACAAATGGAGCCTTAATAATTGAATAAAGAGAATTCATATCCTCCCTGTATAATTAGTTTTCGTGCACTCAACTATATTTATTTGAACAAGTACCATATAGCTACTGGCCAAAATGGTAAGAAAAAGAAAGAACCTGTACCTTATAGCTGGCAAGCTTCAGCAAGGGAAGGTACCATTCGAACAAAGAGGAAAAAGAAATTCTACTTCACAACTCAACCAAATTTAATATATTCTTCGAGCGAAGACCTTTACTAAGCGGAAATATTTGAATAATCCCTACAATTTGCAGAATCATATGTTCCATTTCTCCTAAGATTACACATATTCAAAACCCCATTGACTCAGCGAAGAGAGTATTCTTCCTGGGCATGTCAAGTTCGATTTTGCTTGCTTCACTGTACAAACCTGGAAGTTTCGTATGCTGGCCGCTCCAAATTTCCTAAGTAATTGTCATGGCTTTCATATGCTGACTTGATTCCTATTTGAGAAGTTTCATATGATATATATGAGTTCAAGTTTGAGAGACCGAGAGAGACCGAGAGAGAGAGATGGCCGGGTTGTTCGATAAGCAAGCGAAGATATACGCGGACGCAAGGCCGACATATCCAAGGGAGTGGTACCAGAAGCTGGCCGCTCTCACCCCCCGCCAAGCCTTGGCTTGGGACGTTGGCGCGGGCAACGGTCAAGCCGCTCTTGGGGTTTTCTCTCTCTCCCTCTCTTCTCGCGCAAATTCAATTGTGTGCTTATGCTTCTATACATGACCGTTTTCTTCTTAATTTAAACTAAAACCTTCTGATTTATTGTTAAGCTAGATGAAGTTTTTTCATATCCACCATTGTTTTTATGAACCACTAGCTACACAGCCAACAGTAAATTGTCTATTACTGTACGCAGACGATTATAATGTTCTGTTCTAAGAAAACATATTTTTCCGTGCTGGTAAAATCGAACTTGACATGCCCCGGAATCCAGATTAGTGTTGTTCCTTAGCCACATGTTTCCTTTGCTTCATTTCCCTTGCCAAATGTAGGTCGCAGAACATTATCAGCAAGTGATTGCCACGGACGTGAGCGAGTCGCAGCTAAATTATGCCACTCCGCATCCCCGCGTTCGGTACATTCACACTCCACCATCCATCTCTGATGATGAATTGTTAGCCATGGTTGGTGGTGAGAACTCTGTCGACCTAATCACTGTGGCTCAAGCCATACATTGGTTCGACCTCCCCAAATTCTACTCCCTCGTGATTAGGGAGTGGAGTTGTTGAGCGAGGGGGTTGTTAGGGAGTTTGAGAGGGCATGGGGTGGTACGAAGCTGGTGAGGAATGTGGTCTATAAAGCCTTTATGCTTGCGGGGAAAGTGAAGAAGTGACCTTCCTTGTATGATTGGGAAGCTTGTGTTTGCAAATTGTTTCAAATAATAAGGCCACTTCACATTGTTTATTAATCCTAGCTACTCCTTTTATCATTTTCTAGGTTGCTCACTCATTTCTTTGAAGTGTTGGAATAAGGCTGACGCTCTACCAATGAGCTATATAAGGTTCAATTTGCTTTACGTGTCGAAATATAAGAGGTATTATTTTGCCAGTTCCCGCGATGGAATATCTTTCTGTTCTTCGGTTTTTTAATTAGATGAGACAGGGTTTTGTGGCGACTCCGGATGGGATATACCACAGGTAAATAATGAAATTAACAACTTCACTTCAAACAAAACTATATAAACTCAAATTGTGTTAGAATTCAATTGACGACAAGGCTTGGAGAATACAACTACTTTACAAGAACAGAGCGCAAACAAACTATGCCGGAAGTTAATCGATGACAGAGCCTGAGAATCGGAATTTGATTGAGGACGTAACACCCGAGATAGAGATACATGCCAGAATTTAATTGGCAACGCGGATCTAAGGACTACAACTAGGAAACATGCCAAAATTTAATCGTCGACGCGAGTTTGGAAATTAAAAATACAGTGCAAGAAAGTAAAGATAATTGAAAGATTGCATTTTGTTTGTTTGTGCAGGGGGCTCTCATGTAGAAGATTGATTGTATTTATAGTGGTTGTGCCATAACCGTTCTTGAGAGGTTTTCCAGTGGTTGTATCCATGTTCCTCTGTCTTAGAAAGTTTTGTGCCCACATTCTCACGATGCCATGATCTTGTCTCCAAACAGTTGCTCCTTAAAAAATGCGTGCTTGTTGCTCCACGACTCCAATCACTTTGTTCTGCAGTGACTTGAAACTTGTAACAGCATTTTAGTGCCCTTTATATGTTCAACTTTCTCCCAACTTCTTGATAGTTTATCAATCTTATTAATTGATACCTTTGTTGACCATCGTTAACCATACTCTATATCGATAACTGATTGACAATAATCACCGATGTGTGCCCATATTGATATCAATCTTGTAGTTGTCAACAATGTGTCACGTGCTTGATAATATTTATGCTTTGATCGCTAAAACTATATGAACAATCGAAATCTTAACAAGGATGCAATTCGATTGCATATTCTATGGCAGTCACATCCAAACAAAAGAATTCACGAAACTGGCATGATTCCATCGATCTTGTCTATGATTTTCATACAAGTAGTATCTATTCAGCTGTGACTACCTGTAATTTTTTTCACTTTGGTTTGTCAAATCACATAGAGACTTACCTCGATATTCTAGTTTAATGTACATACGATCTGTCTTGGCTTTAATTTGTTAGATCACATCTTTAGACTCAACTCAAGATTCTATAGTTTTGCAAAAGGCTGGATGAACTCTAATACGATATGTACTTTCACAGATTTTCATCTCCATAGGCATAATGTTGATCACCTTCCTATCAATAATCCATATAATGTTTTTGCTGAACTACTAACTAGAACCATAAAAAATTTCAAGGTCCAATCTCACAAGCTTGATCTTTCACACACTGACCAATCCTTAGTAGCATTCCGATTTGGACAAACAATCGGATTAGGCTTAGAGACTGGTTGTAGACAGCTTCAAATGTAATTTCTGCATCAAGAAGATGAGGTTTTTGCTCGGACATTTGTGCGGAACAAACACATCAGTAGCGAGATCAAGTGACCTATGTTGAGATCATGTAGATCTATGAGTATAGGGCAAATAAAATGTCCAAAAGATCATGAAAGATCATGTGAGAACAATGCAAATTAGAGAGCTCATCAGATTATACAAGACTTAACTTGTGTAGTATATTTAAGTTAACCCGAAGTATTTCAAGAGGAACATTTAAATCCTCCTTATTATAAGATGATTAGGGTTTCTAAAACGCAAGGCTATATTGATAAAAACTTACACTTCTGCATTCCACAATGGGTCCAAAGAGAAGCTTCGTTGAACTTCCAGAGCTAGTTCCTCCAAGCTTAGCCGACATTCAAGCCCTATCTGCAATAGAATCACAAATTTTCAATTATTATTGTAATTATTCGAATCAAGAAATCTTACGAAATTTCTTTCATTGTTGACTTCAGTGCGAATGAAAGACATTGCGGTTGCGGTATTCATGTCGATGCTAGATGCATATTACAGATTAAGTTCAATGTGCGATCAAAATTTGGTTTTTCTGTCACCCTTGGCATCTTCGAGGTATAAAATACGCGCAGGTCCAATATCGCACTAAAGTAAACAATTACGTAAAAGAAACTGTCTTACTGTAATACAAACAAGAAAAAACATAAGGATCAGGTACACTTTCGCAATAATCCGAGATCTATAACTAAGAATAGAAGCACGAATGAGTTATGAACTAGCAAATTCAAACCAACAAGTTTTCCCACGTACGATTCTCCCTCTAGAGTTGATGAAGTATATCACAATGAATTTGCTTCAGTGCTCTTGAAGTCTTCCCATATACCGAATGAATTAGTCTTGCCATAGATGGTTCACAAGGTCCATCTGCGAATAATGAGAAGTTCGAACTTCTAAATGGAAAGCAATAGCCGTTAACTATGTTTTTGCACGTGAGTTCGAACAAATTCGCCCCTGTGGTAATGGCAAGACCGTGCAGTTAGAGATGTGAATAGAATTCCTACATCCTCATGTATATAACTCAGGTAAACTCACGTAGAATTCTCGTGAATCCATCCGACAATTCATATATATACTTAGGAAAGACATAGTTTATCATAATGCTTCTACAACTAGAATGATAATATCCCCTGTAAACCAAGAACCTTGAAACTTCAGCGATATAACCGAATCTCTTTCAACATGGAGAATTGAGACGACAACTGAGAAACCTTAACTTTTAGTACCTTAACGACGAAGGAGTACAAAACCGTGTCTTCCATGCTGCTGATGTTGAGGTGAATAATCTGAAATGAGAGTTTCTCAAGGACGCTAATTATCTTCAAGATTTGGCCCGGCATCTTCCGAGCAATTACCTTCAACAGCACGTTTGGCCCTGAGATCTTCGCCTCGACATCGGCAGCTGAGGAGTTGCAGCACACTCCTAATTCCTTATTGGTAGTGGTGCTCTCGAAACTGAAGGGACTATCGGGGGGCGGTGGTGGCGTGTTGATTAGCTGGAGCTGTCTCGGGCTAGGGCTAGGGCTTAGACTCTTCCTCCTCTTGTTTGCCTCCAAGGATTGTAGGACTTGTTGCAGTTCCTTGATGAATTCTATTACGCCATCTATGATGGACGCTTGATCTCCCTATAAAAATTAATTCCATTTAATCTGAATCATAATTTCTATGAATCTACGGTCTACTAGTGCACAATAGGATTTTATATATAGTAATCGAGCTGCTTATTCATATGATCTATTTTAGTTCAATTACTTCTTTACTTGAACTTGATTCAGCAGTTATTTTATGCTAGCCCGATTTATTGAGTAAATGAACATAATCGAGATTTGACTGGCTAATACTTTCAATCAATTAATTAAGAAAGTTGCACTGTTAATTGATTGACAGAGTTTAAATTAGAAAGATGTTTCCGTACCTAGATATCAAGTACTAACGCTCACGTACTCATTTTTCTATCGCAGCTCGAGAGTTCTTGGTGAGCTCTACTTGAAATTTTGATATGACTCATGCTTGACTTAAGATTGCGACTTCATTAGATATTGACCCGTCAACCCGAAAGTCAAGCTTAACTAATATCAAGCCTAGAGTCAGGTTCGAGCAACATGTACTGCAACATTGACACCGTACTATGGTCTCATTTACAGTTCACACGCATGAGAGAGAGAGAGAGAGAGAGAGAGAGAGAGAGAGAGCGAGAGAGAGAGCGAGGGTTTCACCCGTTTGATGTAGAAGCATGGGGTTAAGGAACGCAAGACCTTGAGATGTTCATTCATCTGCCTCCTCCTGTTTCTCTCCACAGCTATGTGAGACATGCTTTGTTCGTTCCTTGGGGATGGTCTTCAATGGCAGTTCTTGAGCATCTATCTATCAACACGCCAATTAAAAAAAAGAAGCTTTCGACTATTTATAAGCCGAAAACTTTGACGACGACGAGAAGGAGCTAACGCAGTACACCGTAATTACTACTGTTACTCCTACTTGCTGTCTCATTAAATGCCATATGCTGCACTCCCGTGAAGTTACTTTTACTCTCTCTCTCTCTCTCTCTAGGTAGTGCCAGCCATGCAATATTACGCCTCTCACGTTGAATATCTTGGGGTCAATTACGTTACACGCGTGATGATTAAAAAGGAGCATAACACAGTGATAGTTCTCTGGTTGTTTCATCTTTTCCATGCACATGCATTATATTTACACTGCCCCTCTCTCTCTCTCTCTCTCTCTCTCTCTCTCTCACACACACACACACACACACACATTGCCTTCACTCATGCCTCTCTTGCTTAGCTCTTCATAGCTCTCGATCTCCATCTTCATCGAGAAAATATTGGGTACTGCAAGTGATACTAGGTCAGCAAAAAACAAATCCATTCTTCATGCGCCACGTGTCCCTGGCGGGCCCAAATGTCAGAAAAAACGCTCTCTCTTCTGCACTTGCTCTCTCTCCTCTCTTCTCTCTCTTCACTGCGGTTTCTTCTCGGCTATGGCCGTTAGCTCAAGTTCGACCTCCCGTCCATGGCCGCTGCAAGTTTTCAAATCAAGTGTCCGCGGCCACAAGACTGTGGGTCTAACTGCCATAGCCGCAAGCTCGAAGCTCCATCTACATGGCTTCTGTGAGCTTGAGCTCGAGCATCCATGGCTGCGAATCGTCGCAACTCGGGCCGCCATGGCTGCTAGCTCAACAGATGGCAGCCATGGTCGAACGGTTGTGCTCGAGCTCTCGCTCTAGGCTCGAACCCGAGCCCTCATCTTCATAGCCTGTCATATAGCTCGCTTTGATATATTTATGAGACAAGTCGCAAGAAAACGTTTGTCAAGATGAGACCCTTGGTTTCAGGATATTTCTGGTCTTGGTCGAGGTACCATCATATGAAAAAGACTTCACAAATCTTTTTATTCGCTGAATAAACACAGGAGTATGCTTACTCTTGCAAGAATGACTCCACCTGGACTCATATTATGAAGTTGAAAAGGAAAATTTGATCAAAGATATAGTGAGAAGTGTTATCATTATCCCAACTGATTAAAACAATGTAACATCATGAGCCATGACCATGTCGAGCCCATGCAAGGTGACGTCCTCAAACCGAACGAAGATACCTAATTGGAGTTCATCTGCGGTACTATCGTCGTCGTCTAGCAAATTAACAAACATGGAAGTCTCGTTGATTCCCTAAACATTCTGCGAAATATGCATAATGTCAGATTTTGCGACCGGTTCATGTTTTAGAGTTTTGTACCATATTTTCGGACTCTTCCCATATCTAAGTTGATTTTGTGCTCTATAGGATAATGATTAAACGCTTCAGTATTTTCTCCGTTGTCTTCATGCAATTCTAGCACATCTATTCTCCTTACAATTCAGTATTTTTCACATAATTTTTCTTCATACATAGTTCATCTTCCGGCAATCGCTTGCTTCAGATAGGTGCAGTAGAGTTACAGGTTAGAACGAAAAAAATTACCATCCAAAAGAGAGGACACTTGACAAGTATTTGCTAAAGTCCAAAAGGGTCCCTATTCAATCTGAAATAGCCAAAAAGAATTCATGAAGGTAAGGGACATCCACTGCAAATGAATTTTGAACATTTCTAGACTATTAACCATGTAAAGGGCTAATTCGAATATTTCAGGCTCAAATGGTTGTGGCATCGTTTAGAGAATTTTCGAATTCTCGAAGTTGTACAATGAAGCCAGTGTTCGGAGCTGCCTGAGGCCTTCTGGTCTTTACATGTTCCAGAGCTTGAGACAAGCGCATTCCCCGCCGCTTCATGAGATAAGCTGCAACCACTGTCACACTGCCAAAAGAAAAATAACTGTTTATGAAGAACAGCTATGCCAAAAGAAGCTATGTAAAAAGAAAGTTGTCACCAATCATTGCAAACGTCCTATTGACAATACTCAAACCACTAGGCTCAAATGCCACGGCATTTATCACTTAAACTTCCATCTTTCCACTTCTCTGCTGCAATTTAATGTCAACGCAGCCATTCTAACTCGAAATTGTTTGGCGTGACGGGGACGAATGAATTTGCATGTCCATTACAGAAAAACTTCAAGCTATTGGAAAAAAAATTTCAGCTAAAAATTGATACCTATACCACTTTCCTCTTCTTCTTTCATTTGAAATTTTTTGATGAGTAATTGAACTCCAAAGTTGTATTTACCTAAAATATCTTCGCTGCATAGAGCCAGCAGGAACATACAAACGTCCTATCGAACGATATTGAGCGAGCTTTGATGGTTGCTAGAGATGAACTTTCAGCAGTCAAATGGTTAAAAGATCAATTTGAAGGAGACTGGTCATGGTGCATTAAAAGATTACTTGAATAGTGCCTTATTCCTAAATCTCATTTGAAGCATAATCTACTACCCCAAATCACTTCCTAACCTAGAGTTGTGCAAACTCAGTAGAGTTCATACCTAGTTTGGCCAAAATAAAAAAGGTATGAGTACCCAGAACTCAGTGAGATCGAAGTACCCAATTGGAACAGTCTAAAACCAAGTATCAATGAGGAAAACTTATAACTTAGTTATGCAACTGCAGGATAGAGTGAGAAAACAACCTTCTAGAAATTCCCATAAAACAGTGGACCAGTATGCTGCCTCCCTGTCTTCTAGCTTCATCAATGAAATTGATACACTCCTCAAAGTGCTGTCCAATGTGTGTGTTCTCAGAGTCCATGACTTGAAAGAGAAACATGTAATAGAATCCAGTCTCAAGGCCCAATATGGCTTAACACAGTTACAAGGACTAGTGACTCTTTGATTTAGACAGGCAGCAGAGCTTAACAATGTGACACTGAGGACTAAAATACCGAACCGTCATGAAAGAACACCGAGCTGACAAAGTGGAAGCATATTAGAGCAACACCATGGAGAGATTGCAAATGTAGAGCTTATATTCGTAGATTGAAAAATATTTACGGTATCTTCGGATTTATTTGAAAGAAGAAAAGAATCACTAAGATGACAGATAGAGAAAAAGAATACAACTAGCACTTTCTCACCAATATGAAAGGACTAAACGACTTGGTTCAGGAAAGGAAGATGCTATTTTGGCATCGAGATAGAGAGGTACCGTCAACAACTTTATAGACAAAGTCTTTGGGAAATGCTGGGGCTAAGTTAGCCACCGTCAAGATGTGGGTGACATTTAAGCTCTTTAGCCTGTCCTTCTTACTTGCATCTCCGTAAGAACCCAAAAAGAGACCCTGAGAAATGAAAGAGCCGTTCAGAAATCAACTGGTCCTAGGTTTCAAGTCCTATCAAGAAAAATAAAACGAAAATACCACAAGCTCAAAATTATAGCGGTTGTGACGTTGCGTGGATTAAGCATGACAAGATTAGTCCTCCTAGTATGTTTAACTCAGTAAGACAAGTTACCTCTTCGATTCGGCACATTCTGCAGCCATCAAACAGATCCATCGTCGTTTAGGTAAATTCTCTGGACTACTCTCTCTTCAGCCTTCAAAATAGCACAAAATGGCTTGGGGATGAATGTTTATTCAGCAACCCACAACATGAATGAAATTCCAAAATGAAGAGAGACAATATGAATAAACATTTGGCAATCATAAAGGAATTGGCCATCTCTCACCAGATGTAAGAAATTTACCGAACCATTTAAACATGGTTCTCTGTTATTACTTTTACGTGAACCTTTTTGAATATAAATAGCGACTGAGATGCAGAAAAAACTCTGTAAGTTATGCAAATTTGCCACAAAATTCCATCTGAGTTGTTCTACTGTATTGTGTAACACTAACGGATAGTTTCTGTCTACTCTTCAGAGCTAAAAAAATGACATCCTTTGAAGCTGAATCTGGAGTTGAACGCCATTAGTCATCAAATTCATCTTCTCCTTCTTCTTCACTAGTAGCATTCTCGCTGATTCCATTTATCGCATGACTAATTCAGCAATCACCCCAAATCATTTTCTTTTATACACACCCCATCCACAGAGCCAGGTTGATTAACACTCAACACCAGACTACGGGCCAGTAATTACCTAGTTGCTGTGTCACAGGAGCTACCGAAACCCGATGGACTAAGTGGGATGCTCTAAGGGAATCGGCACAAAAAAAAGAACAGAAAGAAAATCAGCGCAGTCCCCAACAATCACACTGCACTGAGGACCTTACCTAGACTCCCCTCATACACTTCTTTTGCCAGAACTTGGTAAGTTGTACTGAAGTAATTATGAATCAATCGAATTAAACTACCATACGACCCGACGATCAGCTCACGAAAAAGAACCATCATCTCTGTTCAAGCAAAGGAAGCATAAAGGGTGAAAAAATCTATTTCTTGGTGTCCATTCCAAAACGATGGTCAGAGGCATTTGAGTTGAATAACAACGAGAACTGCCTAAGTAAGCATCTCCACACAGAAATCAGATGGGTCATCGACAGATGTTTAAAACAGGGCAGGGGTACAAAAGCGGGAAGCCGTCAACAACGCATGCACAGTTTTTTGACGGCAGACACAACTTCTTGGTGTCAGATACGACATGAAAACTTGGTGTGAGATGACATGGTACCCAGGACTATACAGTATTCGCGGAGGAGCAAGCGAGCCTAGCTAAGCATGCGTGGAAAGCAAAGGCGTCGGAATTAGGTCTTACCGGCGAACACGAAGATGGAGCCCCCCTGAATGATGATGATTCTGGGAGATCAGCCGTCTCTCGTTGACCTTCTATACTTGAAGAGAGAGAGAGAGAGAGAGAGAGAGAGAGAGATTTCTAACCTCTGATTGGATGGAATTGGATGGAAGAACGTACTTTTGCAAACAAGAAAGAGAAAAAGAAATGCGGGTTAGTTTGTTCGGTGCATAACTTCCGGAGAAAAAAATGTTTTTTTTTATAAAATGATTTTCAAGAAAAATAGCTAATTTTCAGTTATTTGGTAGTGTATTCAAAAGCGAGAAGGGAGGATTTTTTTTTTCGATGTACCTACTTTCGAAAAATATTCTTGCCGTTGGAATTATATTTTATCAAGATATTGAGATAATATCGAAATGCATTATCAAAATTGAACATGACTATTGAATCTGAGTTACCCTTGAATCAGGTCACATAGTCTATTCACAAGTTATAAATAGTCTTATAAAATTTTTTTCGATGCACGCATGTATTCTATTTTTTTTCATATTGTACAAATAATCTCTTTCATTCATAATTTAATATTTTATAATAAGGGAATCACACGAAGATATTCATCTTTTTGCGTAATTGCGACGCGGATGCACCAGTACTAGAAAGGAACCTTATTTTATTGATTCTAAATGTGTTAGCACTTTCAAAAGCATTGACTAGAAAGAAACAAAGGAGAACAAAAGAACAATTTTCTATGAAAAGAGAAATGATGCTGCTGTTAACCAAGAAAGCTTCGAGGAATAATACTTTTCATTCAATCAATTTGAATGGCCAAAGTTTGCAGAAGACTTGAAAAGTTCAGCATTTTGCTTTTCCTAACATGTATATTAACAAAACCCCTATCCTAAGCTCAGACCTTTGTTTTTTGCTTTCAAGGGGCGATGAGTTGAAATCAGAACAAAAGGCAAGATAGTAAAAATCACTATCATCTTCAGTATCTTCACATGATTGTTCTTCATACACAGTTCATCTTCCGGCGATCGCTTGCTTCAGACAGGTGCAGTAGAGTTACAAGTTAGAACTAAAAAACTACGAGTCAAAAACAGAGGATACTTGACAAGTATCTGCTACAGTCTAAAAAGGGTTCCTATACATCCTATAATAGCCAAAAAGAATTCGTGCACTAACGGACATCAGCTGCAAATGAATTTTGAACATTTTGCAAGTAAACCATGTGAAGGGCTAATTCGAATCCAGGCTCAAATTGTTGTGGCATTGCGTAGAGAACTCTCGAAATCTTGAAGTTGTACAATGAATCCCCTGTTAGGAGCTGCCTGCGGCCTTCTGGTCTTTACGTGTTCCAGAGCTTGAGACAAGTGCATTCCATGCTGCTTCATGAGATAAGCTGTGACCACCGTCACACTGCTCAAAAAGAAATAACAGAATCGTGTGCGAAGAACAATCAGGCGAAAAAAGAAAAGGAAAAAGAAAGTTGTCACTAATCGTTACAAACTTGCTCTCGACAAATGTTAAACCGCTAGGCTAAAATGCCATGGCATTTATCACTTCCAATTCCATCTTCACAGCCCCCCCTCTGCAGCTTCAATGTCGACGCAGCCAATCCAACAAGAAATAGTTTGACATGACAGGGGGGGAATAATGATATTGCATCTGTATATTTTTAAGCATCGCAGAAAAACTTCTAGCTATTCAAAAAAAGTTTCAGCTAAAAATTAATGTCTTTACCCACCAAGTTTCTTCTTCTTCTTCTTTCATTTGAGTTTTTTTTATTAGTAACTAAACTCCAAAGTTGCATTAACCTAAACTATCTTCCCCGCATAGAGCCAGCAGGAACATACAAACGTTTTATCGAAGAATACTGAGTGAGCTCTAATGGTTGCTAGACATGAACTTCAGCAGTCAAATGGTTAAAAGATCAATTTGAAGGAGACTGGTCAAGGTGCATTAAAAGATTACTTCTCCAATCTCTCTAAGAGCCAGGCCTTGTTCCTAAAACCCATTTGAAGCATAATATACTGCCCCAAATCACTTCCCAATCTAGAGTTGTGCAAAATCAGCAGAGTTCATACCTAGTTTGGTCAAAACAAGAAAGGTATAAGTAACTCTGATGCACCAAAATGAGAACAGTCTAAGACCAAATATCAGCGAGATAACTTACTGAGTAAATCAAATTGTTCATGCAAATGCAGAATAGAGCAAGAAAATGACCTTCTGGAAATTCCCCATAAACAGTGGACCAATATACTGCCTCCCTGTCTTCTAGCTTCATAAATGAAATTGATACACTCCTCGAAGTGCTGTCCAATGTGCGTGTCCTCGAAGTCCATGACTTGAAAGAAAAACACATAATAGCATCCAGTCTCAAGGCTCAATATGGCTTAACACAGTTACAAGGACTAGTGACGCTTTGATTTAGACAGGCAGCAGAGCTTAACAATGTGACACTGAGAAGTAAATATTGAACTGTCATGAATGAACACAAAGATGACAAGCCAGAAGCATATTAGAGCAATTACATGGAGAGAGTTTAAAATTTATTAACAGTATCTTTGAAGCACAAAATTATTTGAAAGAGGATAAGAATCACTGAGATGACATAGATTGAGGAAAAGAATACAAGATCCACACAACGAGCACGTTCCCACCAATATGAAAGGACTTAAGGACTTGGTTCAGGAAAGGAAGATGCAATTTCGGCATCGAGATAGAGAGGTACCATCAACAACTTTATAGACAAAATCATTGGGAAATGCTGGGGCTAAGTTAGCCACCGTCAAGATGTGGGTGACATTTAAGCTCTTAAGCCTGTCCTTATAACTTGCATCTCCGTAAGAACCCAGAAAGAGACCCTGAGAAGAGAAAGAAAATGGTTTAGAAATCAACAGGTCTAGGTTTCAATTCCTACCCTCTCTCTCTCTCTCTCTCTCTCTCTCTCTCTCTACTTGTCTATCAAGAAAGACAAAAGAAAATACTGTAAGCTCAAAATTTTAGCGGTTGTGACATTGGGTGGATCAATCTTGACAAGATCTAGTATTTTTAACTTGGTAAGACAAATTACCTCTTCGACTTGGCACATTCTGCGGCCATTAAACAGATCTGTTATTGTAACGATAATTCTCTGCATTACTCTCTCTTCACCCTATAAAATAGCACGAAATGGCACAGTGATGAATGTTTATTCAGCAAGCCACAACTCACTTATGAAATTTCATAATGGAATGGGACAATATGAAAAAACATTGTGGCATTTATAAAGGAAGCAGCCATCTCTCACCTGCTACAAGAAATTAACCAAACCATTAAACATGGTTCTCTATCATTACTTTTTCGAGAACTTTTCTGAAAATCAATAGTGATCGAGATGAACAAAAATCTGCTTAAGTTAACTAAGGTCGTCAAAATTTATGCAAATTTGGCACAAAATTCCATCAGAGTTCATGCCAACTGTTCTACCGTAATGTGTAACACTAACAGAGAGTTTCTGTCTACTTTCCAGAGCTAAAAAATTACATCTTTTAAAGCTGAATCTGGAGGTGACCACCATCCCTCATCAAGTTCATCTTCTCCTTCTTCTTCACTAGTAGCATTCTTGCTTATTCTGTTTATCATATGACAAATTCAGCAATCACCCCAAATCATTTTCTTTTAGACACGCCCCATCCACTGATCATTTCATAACACTCCACAAAGCCTCAAGGCTTAACCATGTTGGTTAACACTCAACACCAGTCTACGCCGCAGTAACTACCTAGTTGCTGTGGGACAGGAGCTACCGAAACCCGACAACGGACATGGTGGGATTCTCCAAGGGAATCGGCACACGAAAAGAAAAAAAAAAATCAGCGCAGTCCTTAAAAATCACATTGCACTGAAGACCTTATCTAGACTTTTACAGCAATTTGTAAGTTTTACTTAAGTAATTAAGAATCAATCGAATTAAACTACAATGTAACCCAATGTTCAGCTCACGAAAAAGAACCATCATCTCTGTTCAGGGGAAAAAGGAAGGATAAGGGGTTATACAAAAAAATTCTTATTGGTGTTTATTCCAAAACGATGGTAGGCATAGTGCCTAAGTAAGCATTTCCACAGAGAATTCAAATGGGTCATCGACAGAACTTTAAATAAGGCAGGACGAATCGCTGCAAATATATAAGCATCATCAGCAAGAAACATACAGTTTTGATGCCGCATACACTTTCTTGGTGCCAGATGCGCCATGATTTTAGCGCGAGACGACATGAAACCCAGGACTACCCAGTACTCACGGAGGAGCAACGATTCTACGAAGCATGTGTGTAAGGCAAAAGGGGTAGGAATTGGGTCTTACCGGCGAAACACCGAGATGGAGTCTCCGAGAACGATGATTATGGGGGGTCACTCGTGTTACGTTGACCTTCCACAACAGAGAGAGAGAGAGAGAGAGAGAGATTTCGGAACGGGTGGACGAATGTACTTGAAAACAAGAAAGAGAAAAGAAATAAAGAAAGCTTTATAGATTGACCTGGCGAATATACTCAAGTACGATCCATTTGGTTGTTTAAACAGTTACCAAATACTTGGTCAGCAAATTATGTAAACAAATTTCACTACCTCTAACATTACAAAAAAAAAAAAGAAATTGTGAAAACTTCTAAAAAATTTCGACACTTTACTCTGTTCTGTAAAAAATACCAGGAATTCTGCAACGATCTTTTGCAAAACATAAAATGCAATCAGCAATAACGTTAACAACCTTCCATCAAGACAGAATGCTCAACACAGGTTGGAGACGAAAGCAGAAAGCATGGAGAGCCCGCAGCTATCCGGAGTGCCCATTTGGCTGAACGGTGTGCCCGCTGATGAGCCGAGCGACTCCATCCAACTCCGCGACATGCCAAGACTATGGAAAAGCAAATTCTTTTCGATAGAAGCGATCCCTACGATAGTCCATGGTGGGGAGCCATTTGCAGTGTTTGTAACTTTAGCTGGCGATAAAGATTCGCTCTCAAAGATAACTTGACGCCAAACTGAATGCTTTGGCCTATGCAAGAATTGCCTTGCAACCCTTCCATAAGTCCCTGATAAAAATGTCCATAGAGTCTCGAGCAATGACTGCTGCAGTGGCTTGATCGTTCTCAATGTAAAAGAATAAAGAATTCTAAAAAACCTTGCGTGTGATTACTATTTTTTTTTTCATTTACAAGGCTATACGCACACATATATACAGAGAAGCGAACCAACCCTAATTGACCTACAAATCAGGGAATATACATAGAAAGAGTATAAACCAAGAAGAACTCTTCCTATTTTGGCTCTAATAGACAGCTTACGCTAACATTCCCCTTCAAGCGGGTGAGAAGATGTCTTTGATACCCAGCTTGACAAGTTAGCTGTGAAAAGCTTGACTCAACAGGGCCTTCGTAAGAATATCTGCCAACTGATCTTCATATCTCACAAACGGAAACTTTATCACTTTATCAACCAAGTTCTGCTTGACAAAATGCCTATCCACCTCAACATGCTTAGTACGGTCATGTTGAACTGGATTGTGAGAAATTTCAATTGCAGCTTTATTATCACAAACTAGTCTCATCTCGGACTCAGGTGGAAAACCAAGTTCTGTCATCAACCTTTTTAGCCATAGCAGCTCGCATAGACCTTTAGCTACCCCTCGAAATTCTGCTTCAGCACTTGACAATGCTACAATCTTTTGCTTCTTGCTCCTCCATGTTACCAAATTTCCTCCCACAAATGTGAAATAGCCTGACGTAGACCTTCTATTAGAGATACTACCTATCCAATCCGCATCCGTAAATCCCTCTACCTCAAGGTGACCATTCTTCGCAAAGAACAACCCTTTTCCTGGAGCTGACTTCAAGTAGTGCAGAATCCAAACAGCAGCATTCATATTTTCTTCACTCGGAGCATGCATAAATTGGTTCACAACCCCTACAGCATATGCAATATCAAGATGAGTGTATGACAAATAAATCAATCTCCCTACTAACCTTTGGTATATGTCTTTATTGGTAAGCACCTGATTAGGAAACTCTCCAAGTTTATGATTTTGAACTATAGGCGTGTTAGCAGGCTTACACTCCAACATTCCAACATCAGCTAATAAATCTAACACATACTTTCGCTGAGACAAGAAAATACCTTCCTTCGACCTAGCTACTTCAATTCCCAAGAAATATTTCGGGCCTCCCAAATTTTTCATCTCAAACTCATTGGCTAACTGCCCTTGAAGGTCTGCAATTTCTTCTAGATCATCCCCTGTGATAATCATATCATTCACGTATATGATCAATGCTGTCACTTTGTCCTGTCTACGCTTCAAGAATAATGTATGATCAGAATTACTTTGAGTGTATCCATACCTCTTCATCGCTGAGCTAAATCGACCAAACCACACTCGGGGTCATTGCTTTAACCCATATAATGACCGCTGGAGTTTGCACACCACATTTGACTGATTAGCACATGCATACCCAGGTGGGACTTCCATGTATATTTCTTCTTCTAGATCTCCATGAAGAAACGTGCTCTTCACATCAAACTGGTGCAAAGGCCAGCCTAGGTTTGCTGCAAGTGACATTAAAACCTATACGGTATCCAGCTTCTCAACTGGAGAGAATGTTTCTTGGTAATCCACACCATAGGTTTGGGTATATCCCTTTGCTACCAGCCGTGCCTTGTACCTCTCAACCGACCCATTTGCTTTGTATGTAACGGTGAAGACCCACTTGCACCCTACTGCCTTCTTCCCCTTCGGCAGCTCTACCAGTCTTCAGGTCTTATTTTTCTGCAAGGCTTCCATCTCCTCTTTCATTGCCTGAACTCACTTGGGATCTCTCAAGGCTTCTTGTACTCCACTAGGAATTTGAATTGCGGAGACCTTGGCCACAAACGACTTCAAATGTTTCGACAATCTCCTTGTTGAAACATAATTGGTAACTAGGTACTTCAAACTTCGTTCCTCCACATTTGGTGAGTACCTATTAGGAGCCTTGCCTTGATTGTGTCTGTCGGGCAATTTATAATCAACAACCTCATCAGTATCAACTAGAGAATCATGTGTGATAAGAGAACTTACCTTAGGAGTATCCTCAGGAGAATGGTCAGGTACTGAAGATGGGATATTTTGCGGAAGAGAGGACTGTTCTTGAGGTTGTTCTTGTGTCTCTTGTACCAAAATACTCTGCTGGTTACATTCATTAAGAAGTTGCTGCTGGTTTTGATGTCCACTGCCCTTATCCATAGCCGGACCTGCTGTCCGTCCCACCAAATTGTCTGCCGTCAGTGCTGCTGGACCATGCTGCCCTGTTGGTGTTGTTGGTCCATGCTGCCGTGAGTCACATGCACCGCTAGTCCCTGCCATCATGCCACCTTCCCACCAATTTACCCTTTCACCATGGATCTTCCCCTGAAAGGTACTATTGGTGGCAGGAAAGATGAGTTCAGATTCAACAAATGTGATGTCCATGGTCACATGAGTTTTCTTTGTGTCCAGATTGTAGCAACGATAGCCCTTTTGGTGGGTTCCATAGCCAAGAAAAACACACTTGATAGCGCATGGGTCGAGCTTTGTTCGATGATTCTTATGCAGATGGACATAGGCCACACGCCCAAACACCTTGGGAGGAAAGTCAAGACTAAGATAAGTGAGACATGCGTCGAAAGAGCCTGTAATGCCAATATGCGGGAGGGCATGCGATTCATCAGATGCACGGTAGTAACCACAGCCGCATTCCAAAATCGATTCGGAACTTGCCCACCCACCAGGAGTGCCCCCGCTGTCTCTAGGAAATGATGGTTTTTTTCGTTTGGCAACACCATTTTGCTGGGGTGTCTGAGTGCAATAGGTCTCGTGAATTAACCCATGGTCTTGAAAATAACCTGTGAGGTGTTGGTTAATATATTCGCCGCCGTTGTCGCTGCGAAGGAAACGGATTTGAGCTCCAAATTGAGTCATGACCATGTGGTGATATACACGAAAGACTGTCCCTACTTCAGCTTTATATTTCATCAAATATAACCATGTCATTCTGGTACAGTCATCCACAAAAGTTACAAACCAACGAATACCAGACATAGTAACAATTGGTGAAGCACCCCACACATCAGAATGTATTAATGAAAAAGGAGTTGGGCTCTTATTAAAACTCAATGGAAAAGAAGCACGATGGCTCTTCGCCAAAATGCAGGTCTCACAGTGAAATTCAGAATCCGATAAACTACTGAACAAGTTTGGAAATAATTTCTTTAAATACCCAAAAGATGGGTGTCCTAAACGACGGTGTCATAACCAAATTTGTTTCTCCTTAGCAGTAGACTGACTGCAGGTGTGGTATACTCGGTTTTCAGTGAAGTCATCAACAAAGTACAATCCCTCCCTCTTAGTACCACGTCCAATAATCTCCTTCGTGAGGATATCCTGAAATAAACAAAATGATGGATACATGAGTACGTTGCAATTCAATTCATCAATGATTTGTCCCATAGAGAGCAATCGGTTAGATAAGGATGACACTAACAAAGTGTGAGATAATGATAAAGATATGGAAAGTTCAACACTGCCAACCCCCAACATAGGAAAACTACAACCATTGGCATTATATATATGTTGTCTTCTTGGAGCAATGTGGCGCAGGAGATCATCAGGATGGGTTGTCATGTGATCAGTAGCGCCTGAATCTACAATCCACCCATCTTTACCTCCA